TGGTGTGTGTATAGTTTCTTGTTGTTGTTTATTATTTCTTTCTCATCATATTCTACGTTTGTCTTATAGTCTTCTTTTGGTTACACTATTCTCCATCTCTTGGCGTCCGACGCACGCGTGTCAGCAATGAGACGCGTGTTGGAAAAAACCAACAAGAAGATTAACACGCCAGACGTCGTGAGTACAGTAGAAGAAAACAACACTTTATTCATTGCTAACAAATTAACATTAATTCACTCACAAACACATTCAATACATCACGTTCTAATTTAGCAATATTCTTGGTTATAATACTGAGATGGGATTTTTTATTTACAACTGGTTGAGAAATATTTTCCGCTCAATAGGGGAGACTACCTTGACCGTTATTATTTGTTTTATTAATACAACAAAAATAAACCACAATCCATTACTACATTTTGTCAATATTATTACCATTAATATTAATACAGTACAGGTGATGTATTATCCTATAATTATTAATTTCATAATACTTATTACCATCATCATTAATTCAGGTACCTACTTCATTCTTGCATTGCCAGCCATATTATTGGGTTTTTTTTAATTACCATTAACAATATGAATAATAATTATTATCAAAATTATTATTATTATCATCAATATTATTATTATGATTATTATAATATTACTGAAGTATCACTATTATTACCGGTAGGCGTTAATAAATTATGGTTGTTATAAATTATCTCAGGTACTTTTACGTTTGCGTAATATTTGTTAATTGATATTCTTGGGTTGTGCGTGTTCAACAAACTTGACGTTGATTATCATTTCATTGCAGTTTGGACAAACACCACTACATTACTGTCTAAAGAATGAGTGGCTGACGCACGAGCAACACAAGGAAGTCGCAATTCTCAATATCAGCTTTGGCGCGTCGGTGACAATAAAAGATGTGGTAATGTACAGAAAAATGAAATGCATCAAAAGAATATCAGTCAATGACCTTAATACAACAACTGTATATGAAACTACTTGAAACATTTTTACTAATTAAAACCAACGTAATAAATATAAATTCAAACAAAATTAAATCGAAAACAAAAAAAACATACGGGTATGGTTGATTTTTTAAAAATTTTAGAAGTATGAGTTTAATAATGTTTATTATCAATTAATTGGATGGTAATTTACAACATAATTATAATGTCGTGATGATAACATTGTCGGGTGTTCATTAGATATATTATTTTTATTATTATCTTTGAGTATTTAACTAAAATATATCACTGCTTTCTGTTTATTTGGTTTTTAATTGTCTTGCAATGGAATGAATCATCGCGTGCTCGTGTCTGTTATTGCAGGATGGAAAGACGCCTCTTGATTTGTATGATGAAAACGAATGTAAAGGATACGAAGAAACCACGAGAAGTAAAAAGAAACAAGATTTAAAAGAATTACTTGAAAGTACGTTGATTGACTTATTAAATATCTGTGGAATCAAATCTTTAAACTCTATTTAAAAGAGTACTTATCATACATCCGTATTATTACGTTTGACATTTATTTTTTTAAATTTGAAATTCTACACAATTAATGTATTAATTCCACATTTTGATTATCGTAAAGAGGTTAATTTCCTCGTAAATAATCAAAAATATAATTAAAAAAGAAAATAATAAAAATTGTTGTTATGTTTGTATATAAATTAGAACTATCAACTCCATCAGAGATTTTAGCCAGGGGTCCCGATGCCGTAAAAGCATTCAAAGATGCACTTCAAAACGGTGAAATAACAGTTGTTAATTCAAGACTGATGTTTCTTGGTCAAGAGGGTTCCGGGAAAACCTCTTGTGTTAAAGCCATGCTGGGAAAAGTGTAAGTACAACAAAATGCCTTGTATTAATTCCATAAAATTGTAATTTTATATTATATGGATCATTATTTTCCTTGCCTTTCTTTTTAATCGGTTTCAATATTTTTACGTGCAGTACAGTCCGTGCGTTTTCTACTGCAATTTAAC